ATTTCTGTTAGAGCAAACTATTTAAACGAGACATGTCGATGAAATATCACAATTTCAAGCCTAAATTTGGGTAATTTCTCTCACAGAACAGCACACCACAGGTAAGATAATACGCCTTTCAAACCTGCTACTGGGCTTCGGGTTCAGAGGGTTGACAATAAATGCATTTTAAGGTGAATTCACTGCAGTTGTAGCAGGAATCACACTTCATATAATAGGCACCAGATCTTCCGAGTGAAACAATAACATATTGGTGACAACCTCAATTGCAGCAATGAGGAAATCAAATACATATATCTTTAATATTCCCAGACATTAATGATTGTTGCTATGACAGGGAAAACGAGACACTTCTATACCACTGAGTGACTAATTGGATTCACAAGAGTGGTTATATTCATTTTACTAAAAGGACTGAATGAAGAGTTCTTACCTGAATGGCCAGACACAAGGTGTTGAGGATGATCAGGACAAACATGACGTACTCAAAGCCGGTGGAGTTGACCACATACCAGAACTTGTACTGGTAGGGGTTTTTGGGAATGTAGCGCCGCAGAGGACGAGCTTTCAGAGCGTACTCAACACACTGACGCTGTGGGGGGTTGGAGGGTAAGTTGGGGCAAATAGACAAACAAATTCATAAACAAGAGCAATATGTAAAAGATAAAGGCAGGTTTTATGCCGATCACCACGATACAGTGTTTTGTGAGAAGAAGTCTTCGTGGTAAATGAATTATCACGTTACAGGGTATGACTTCTCGTATTGCAAATTTACCGTAAGACCTTCCTACCTGGTTCTTGTCCAGCTCGCAGTTCTTGTACTCCTTCTCCCCCTGCTCCTGGAAGGTAACGATGACGAAACCGACGAAGATGTTCATCATGAAGAAAGCGATGATGATGATGTAGATGATGAAGAAGATGGAGATCTCGATGCGGTAGTTGTAGATGGGGCCCAGGTTCTCCCTGTTAGAGTCGATGGCCTTGTAGAGCAAACTGTAGGGACACACATGACGCAGAGACAGTCGAGATAATAAAGAGTAATTCGTCAGATACACTCCAGTAAGTTTCTGTTAAGACAAATGCATGTTTGAGTGTACATCGACAGACACACAATACTTGAGGAGAGCTGCCCATAGTTCTCTACATTTGGTCATTGAAATGGTAAAACGGAGCATTTTGATTCATAGAGATAATGATTAATATTAAACATTTAAAAAATGGAATGTTTTATTTCTATTTATGCTCATAGAACACTGTAGCCCTCTGCAATCTAAGCAGTTTCTTGGTGGTTTTTTTTTTGCTTCTAATTCATTTTCACTCATTGTTAGCTCATTTTCCACTCCAATATAAAGTCCTGCATCTCTATGGAAAGAAAATAACCATGACTAGAAGTAGAGAGAACTCAGTAATATCTTCTGAGCAGCATAAAAAGTCACAATACCATGATTATTTTACAAAAATTAAAAAACCTGTAATCAGCATGTATAACATCTTCCCACAGGTGTCACTTACACTAGAAAAATGGGGGTTAGATAATTAACTATTTACATTTCTACAGCCTCTTCTAACTAATAGGTCCCTTTCACAAAAAGATATTTCACCGTGCTGAATGGATCTTCCAACAACTTGTTGACAACTTGCTCCACTGTAATCAGTTTTTGAGCCATGCGTTATTGATCAAACATGTTTTGTTTTGCTCTCAGTCTTTCTAATTTGTTTCTGTACTTATCTTCTCTCTGCCTTGTGTAAACACAGTTCAGTCGAGTAGTTACTGATTATTGGTCACAGTTGAGTGAACCTGTCAGTTGCACCAAGGAGCAAAGATTTTTTTGTCTTGTACAGAATCTGGTGAGTTGTGAAGTTTTGAAATAATGTAGTATAATGTGATTTTGATTTAATGTCACAATTTTCAGTTCAGATATGGTGAATTTTCCCGATCGAACCACGTGTCACAAACAGATGCTTCAATGATTGTTGGAAAGTTGAAAATCCAACAATTTTTTGGTTGACAGGCACAACTGGCAGGTTTTGGGGTTCCGAATGTTGAATTCTACCTCAAACACAGAACAGTACTTACGTGGGCCATCCCTCAAAGGTGGACACGGTAAAAAGAGCCATCATGGCCATGAGGACGTTGTCAAAGTTGAAGTCGCTGTTGTACCAAATCCTCTCCTTCACCATGGGCAGCGCCGTGTCGCCGTTGTTGTAGAGAATGTATGTACCTCTAGGATTTAAAGACCATGTTAACCACATGTATGTACAAGCATAGAACAGAAACACTTTTAGAAACTGTGTCCAAAACTGGGAAGGAATCAGAAGAACTCACTTGCACTCGTCTGGGCTGGACTTTGCATCATCTGTGCATCTGTAAAATTTACCCTTTTGTAAAAAAGAACAGTGTCAGAAGTCTTATAAGACCGCTCTACTTCTGTACAAACATTTGTGTTTTTACAGGAGAAAAAAAGGTTAATTTTAAAAGAGATGCCAGGTTACCATCAGTTATGACCCTGTTACTCTTTATTTCTCTTGTACCTTGAAGAGCTGCACTCCAATACAAGCGAACATGAACTGAAGCAGTGTGGTGACGATCATGATGTTGCCAATGGTCCTGATGGCCACAAACACACACTGGACCACGTGCTGTAAGCGTACACAGTTACACAATGTTAACAGAAATACGCAAAAAGATACACTAATACGCTGCACCATGTTGCGTTCTAGTCACTCTGACCTTGAGGCCCTTGGCTCTGTTTATGGCCCTGAGAGGACGCAGAACTCGCAAAACACGAAGAATCTTCACCACCGAGATAGCAGACGACCTACAGATGACAGAGAGGCAAACCAGTGGATTCAGCTGACGGATTCATGAGCACGTTGCCATAGAAGCATTAGAAGTTAACATTTTTCCATCTGTAACTGTGAACACTGTGGCACAATAAATGCTCAGCTCCTGAAGTTTTAGGTTAGCTGGAAAACTAACGGTGACAGACGAGGTGAAGTCACTGTGGTCAACTGCTTTGTCACATAACTTCACTGGAAAAACTGAATTTGTGGTTGGCTTGAAAGACAGCTCAGTCAATTTAGATTTTCAGCAACAATGAAGGCCTGCCTCTTAGTTCTAAATTCTATTATTACCACATGGTTAGACTATTGTAGCTCTTTGTGTGAGGGTGTAGAGCAGTCGCCTCTTCAGCGTCTGCAGCTGTTACAACAGGCTGCTATTCATCTTTAGTTAGTAAAAAGAGAACGTGATCACACAACTCCAACATTGGCCTCCCTCTACCGGCTACTTCATCCGTTTTAGGATTGATTTAAAGGATTTTATTGGTTTGTTTTGATCATTTTAAATGTGTTGGCGTCACATTATTTCCCAGAACTCTTACATCACACGCTGGTTAGAGCACTGAAGTCGACCAACCAGATGTTCTGGAAAGATTCAGACACAGAAACAGAGGTGATGGAACCTTTACAGTGGCTGTACTTTTCCATTCCAGAAACTTTGAAGTGGAGACCCAACTCTTCTTGTTGGCGTTTGATTCAAGTAGAGCTGGACACCCAAACTTCATCACTTATTTTTAACCATTTTGTCTTGATATCCAGATTAGTATTTTTTGTCATTGTGTTTAATGGCATCTTATGGTTCGCTACTACACTACACTTTGGTTCAACTCTTGTTTTTAAATGTGCTTAATAGATACATTTGACTGGACTTTCAATTAGGTTTTTGTGGAGAATAAACAAACATGATATAACGTGTTATTTAAAGAAGTTAAATGTGCTGGTTGATGGATGTTGTCTTTAGACCAGGGGTGTCGAACTCCGGTCCTCGAGGGCCGCAATGCTGCAAGTTTTAGATGTTTCTCTCTTCCAACACACCTGATTCAAATGATCAGGATCGTAATCAGGCTTCTGCAGAGCTTGATGATGAGCTGATCATTGGAATCAGGTGTGTTGGAAGAGGGAAACATCTAAAACATGCAGGATTGCGGCCCTCGAGGACCGGAGTTCGACACCCCTGCTTTAGACGTTTACTCCTGTTTTCAGTCTTTGTGCTAAGCTACATCACTCAGCTGCTAGTTCTAGCTTTATATCAACCGGACAGACATGAATGCACTGATGAGATCATCCAATGTTTGCTGAGGACGCGGAGAAGAATATTTCCCAAAGCATCAAACTATTGAGCAATATTTCTATTTCAGCAGAACTAAAGTTGAACGATGATACATTTCAGCAAGACATAAAAAAAAACTGCTTTTACTAAGAATTGAATAAAAGATACTTACTCAATGCCGAAGGACACCAGAGACACACCGACGACCAGCAGGTCTAATAGGTTGAAGTAGTTTCTACAGAAAGCTCCTTTGTGCAGGAAAGCTCCAAATGCTGTCATCTGGACAGAAGAGAGGAACTGTCAGAACTGAGAGGAGCAGATCTGCCATCATGCAAACACATACATAGATGGAGATAGTTTCCAGTCAGACTTTAATAACTGTATTAACTACTGAGATGATCCGTTACTATAAAACTACTTTTGATATTAGTAACGTATACTGATTGGTAATGGTGTCAAGCAATATTTCTACAAAGTGTCTATATATTGACAAGCATGGATTCACACCCACAGAAGCAGCTTTAAATTAGCGCAGTCAGAGATGCAAACACACACAAACACACAGAATATACAGTATAAATATATATAAAAACAATGCAAAATGTTCACACGTGACACAGGGAGCATTATTCATAAACCGCAAAACACTCGTTTCCGGTGCAGATTAAACCACAAACTGTACCATAAACAGAGCCGAAAATCTTCTGACAGACTTTTACTACGTGAGATTTTACCTGGTGCAGACATGCAGCGAGCAACGGGGTGAGACAGGGGATTGAACCTTAACTGTAAAAATGATAAAAGTGCTCCAGATTTTTGCGGATGTCTTCGAGCATGGAAGCACGGTAGCCAAAAAGGCGTGTGTGTGTGCAGTATGCAGCGGGGTATACATGTTGGATGTTAGTCCGTCTTTCTAAAGCCCAGAAAATGTCAAAGTTAAGAAACCTCCTTCATATTAAAAACAAAAAAATGTCCTACCAATATTTTCAAAAAGTGATTCTATATATTGTTTAATCTTCTTAAAAAAAAGAAGAACTGTATTGTTTGGGAACAGCCAAAAAGGCCGCTGTACTCTGCAGAGGTCCATTAACTGTTCGGGATGAAAAGGGGAAGTGGGCCGTGATGGAAAAGTGACTGACACACACACGCAAAAAAAAGAATATCTGACGAGAACGCATGACCTCCACGCCGACAGACTGGCGCTGTGACAACAAGACAAGCGGCTGACCAAAAAATTATAGAGACAAAAATGGAGGGAGGGAGGATGTGTGCAGCAAGCTTGGAGGTGGTGGGTTGTTGCCGAGGCAACGCGACATGTTGTCTTGTTTACCTTAATAAGGATCTCAAATGTAAACATACTAGTGAAGACATAGTCTGCATAGCCTAGGATCTGAGGAGGCAATCAGAGTGACACAAGCACGCAGGGTTACTGAAGCTCTACCCAGCACAGCACAGCACAGCACGCAAAGGACATTTACCTTCAACAGGATCTCAACAGTAAAGATTGCGGTGAAAGCATAGTCAAAATAACCAAGTATCTGCAAAAAGGCAATGCACAAGTTCAAGTCATTCCAGGATAACAGCACAGTGAATCATCTGTCACATACTTTTTTTTAACTGATTCTGTAAGAGTTAGACACAAAAGAAACAGAAATTAATCCTGGCAAAGCTGCACGAGGCAATGTTGAAATGTAAAAACAGTGAGAGAGACTTTGGGCCGTTTCTCGAATTAAAACGTTAAGACTGTTGACAACGTGGCAGGTAATCACTAAAATTGAATCCGTACAAAGCTGGACTCGCTCAAGTTGGATCTTTTGCCATTACAGAGCCACATTGGAGCGGAATGAGAGTTCTTCACGCTGGACTGCACAAAGTTGTTTATCCTTATGATCACAAAAACACAGGTGTGAAACTGAATTTATCAAAGAGCAACCTGAGCCCAGAGAAAAGCCTCAGTGCCACATGTGTTATGAGCTGTATAATGCANATACATTTTTATATTCTTCATAGCCCAACATTATAATAATTAATATAATAATCTGTTCCTCTTTGTTGAAGTAGGCGACACTTGGTTGGTCCATTTTGTGAAGAAGAGTCAAATGACGCGTCATTAACGTTGTTTTATGGGAGCACACACAGAGCCTCATGAAGAAAACCAGAGTTAATAAATAAAGTTGATAAGCACTGTCATGATGCACATTCTCTCTGGAGCTTTAGGTTTTGTTGAGCCAGTTTACACAAATAAAGCTGGGCTGTGTCAAACTTGCTTCATCTCTCCACTATTCTGAAGCGCCAGAAATATCCAAGGTCACAGGTTTTTCTTTTGCGTATTATGACTTTCTAAAGTTTAAAGCAACAAGCTACACTTTACTTCAAACACACATTCAAAATTATTCCAGACAAACAAACATCTTGACATGGAAATGCTGGCAGAAAGCATGAAATCACTGTGAATATAAGCTGCAAACCAAGACGCAGAGAGGCCCTGCAGTAGCAATACTGTAAATTAAGCTGATTAGATGATGAGTAGGAAACATGAGCACATGCAAGGCAGTCATAGGAGATAACTAAGCTGCATTCAAAGACAGTAAGCTCACATTACTTTCTATTTTGTCAGATCTTTTACATGTTTGATAAATGTAGTCAATATTCAGTTGCTGCAATGCTTGTTCACATGTTTACATGATGAAACACGCGACATCTTTTCCCATTTTCTTTATCCAGTACCTAACTATTTCATGTGTTTTACAAGTTTGCAGTTGATAAACTCGAGAATATTTTCAGATGATAGTGTCAGATAACATCAGTTAAGTGAAACTTTGCCCTATTGTGAAATTGTGGTTGTAAAGAGCAAAAATAACTGAAAAGAAAGTTGTGATCTTGAATGCAACTCTGATGCTAAAGCAAGGCCCTCTCTCTTGGAAGGATACAGTAGGACATGTGTGATAAATGACTACTTACATTGATCTCAGTGATGGCAATGTCAACCACGCTACCCACAACAATTAAGGCATCAAACGTGTTCCATGCATCAGCAAAATAGTTCTGCAAGCACAGGCAACAAAGACACAAAAAGAGAAGAAGAGAGAGAGCGAGAGAGACAACAAAGCAAGAAAGAATAGGAAGAGGAAGTTGAGGTACAAAAAAAACAAAAAAGAAAGAATTGTGAAAGATAGAAAACATCAAAAAGTTGTGCTTTGATTTAACAGAGAGGTTGGAAGTCAAATCCTTCCTGCCAGAGTTAGTGAGAGTGTTGAGTTGTATAATTTGCTCTTAAAGTCTTTTATTTTGAAAGTCTTTTGTGGGGATGAGTGAATAAATAGCCACGATAGACTTACACCTGAACAAAAATCAGTGGCCTTCAATTAACGCATATTCTGGCAGTTAATGCAGATTTTTACAGCCCATTAGTGGATATTTGGTGCTTACAGAATTCACAGCAGACTGGTCAGAAAATTAAGACAGGAAGGAAAGGAGGAAAGGAGGAAAGGAGGAAAGGTGTGAAGGAAGGAAAATAAGGAGAGTGGCAGCAGCAGGGAGGCGAGAGCAGGAAGAGGGAATGACAGAGTTGTACATACTGACGTCTTTCTACCTGGCTGAGGATGATGTCGACTACACTGCCGATCACCACCAGAGCATCGAAGACGTTCCAGGCGTCTCCGACATAACCCTGAACGTGGCGGCATGCGCAGCCAGCGGGAGGAGAGGGGGAGGCGGGAGAGGAGGTGGGGAGTAATGGANCACACCACATGGTTTATACTGAACAAAAACATAAATGCAGCATGTGATATTTTACTAAACTCTAATGATTCTTTTTAACAAAGTATGTTAAAAAATGTTATGGGGGGGCCGCCACTTTAGGTTGAGCTGGCGACCCATATACAGGGGTCTCCGATGCAGCGGCCATGGGTTTGAATCCCGCTCATGGTCCTTTGCTGCAACCCATTCCCCCATTCTCCTCCCCCACTTTCCTGTCTCTCCTTCTACTATCCTATATTAAAAAAAGGCCAAAAAAATAACTTAAAAAAAAAATGTTATCGGGTACAAAGCATTGGAAATGATAATGGGCAGATGGAGAGTAAAGTTATAGACCAGGAATGACGAGTCATACATCAGCGACGCAGAGAATTAATAAAGGTTTTTGATGCTGCTTGTTGAATGTCGTTTTACTCTTCCTGAAGGACTCGGTGAAGTTGATATATTATATTGACAGACACGTTTGAAACGATTTCTTAGACAACAAATGATGGAGTTGTGGATATTCAGACTCCAGCCCTAACTGACATGCCATTGGTCCGTTCTCTTCTTCCTCATCATTTGTAGCCTCCTGTCATTTGAATAAAGCTTCATTCAAAGGAATGTTTGTGTTTTGTTCACATCATCTGATCATTGTCCTTTACAGACCTGTCATTGCGCACATAACAAAAAATAATACGTTTTTCTGTTAAAAAGTTTCATAAATAAATAAAATTACTTTTTATTGGTTTTTCTTTTTCTTCTGTCTCAGTATTGAGTCCCACTTTCCAAAGCAGCTCTCCTGAGACGTTTGTTTTTGAATGACGGCTTTGTTTAACGGCCGGGCATAAAAACTAGCAGTCAAGTGACGGGAAAACAAGCACAGACAGAAGTGACGGGAACACAAGCACAGACAGAAGTGACGGGAAGACGAGCTAGTCATTTTTCACAATAAAACACCCTGCAGGCTCCGCTGGAAGTAAAAATAAACCAATAAAACGTTTTTATTCTTTCTGTGCGGCCCGGTACCAAATGACCCAGTGCCCGATACCGGTTCACAGCCCGGTGGTTGGGGACCGCAGCTTTACAGGCACAGCTGGATTAACTCAGCGGTTTAAGATTTGTCACGAGCTGAACCGCTCCAAAATTTTAACAGATGTGACCTTTTTCTAAACAAAAGAGTCAGAAAAGAAGACCATTTGCATGCTGCATGAATATTTTTGTTCAGTGCTGTAATGCATTCCTTAAATTTCAAGTTAGGGTTGACTTAACAATTGCCTTGTGCAGCTTGCATTATAACACAGTATTATCAGAATGCTATGAGAAATGTGTGTGAAACAGAAACGTAGCAATAATAGGAACAGCAGCATTGTGAGGTACTGGTCATTTAGAAAGTATGTGAGCAAAAAAGTGTCGGCTTCAATGAAATTCAAACAAAAAAAACAACTACTGTTGGTCACATATATTCTAATATTCTATGTGAAGTTTTTAGATTTTAAGTGTCGTTTGTCAAATCATGCTTTCGATACGCCTTTCACGGCAGACATTTTGACTTGTCACCTTGCCACATGGATTACTAATAACATTAATGAGGATTCTGTTCTATTAAGTGTGACTGTGAACCAGCACGTACAACACGAGAACCTCAATGGAATCCAGCAATCATTCATTTCCTAATTCTTTTCTGTGCTTTTGAGACAAATAATCTCTCCAGATGTGATGCAAAAAAAAAACAAAAAAAAAACGGGACTGCGGTTGTTGACGTACGATATTTCGAGCGGAGAAGTTGCGTATGGGATCCTCAGCAGCCAGAGACACGGAGCTGAGCATGATGAAGACCAGGATGAGGTTGGTGAAGATCTGGTGGTTGATCAGCTTATGGCAGAACACACGAAACCTGCAAAAACAGAAGTGAGGAAACAGAAAAGGTGGTTCAAGTTTAGCTTTTTGCCTCTGTTCTTACCAGTTGTAGTTAGTATTAGAGCAGGTATAGTTGCTCTTCTTCCTCAGTATTGTTGGTATAAAGTAGGAAACTCACGGGTTGGTGCTGCTGAAGATGAAGAAGGCGCTGCCTTCGGGGATCGGCGGCGTCTTTTCCTTGATGGTGAGCTCAGAAAGCCGCTGAGGCCGAGGCCCAGAGGGGACTTCTGGGAGGTCGTCATTATCTTCATCATCGTCACACACTAGAAAACAGCGATTCAAACATGAAAACAATCCCTCTGATGTATTTGTAGCGAATTGATGCTCACGGAAACTAAAAATTTTGATTGCGTGTATTTAGTTTTTCTATTAATTCGTTATGCTCTCATCTTTTGTTCAGTGTTCATTCAGCATTTGTAAGGTCAGATGGACTCTTAAGCGGCACGGTCTTAACCCTCTGTTGCAATTAGCTTCGAAGGATTATGTGTGTTTTTTATTCCATTATAGCATTTCTACAGTTTTACAACAGCCTTGAGGATCTCGGAAGTTTTATTAATTTTTTCTGATAGGCCACAAATTGTTGAGGTTGAATCATTAATTTGAACTTTAAAATGAGTTCTGCGATGAGATGTGACGTTAGCTAGGTGCTCTTTCATTTGTAATTGTGTTTATGTTTTTACAGCCTGCTTAGTTCAGTGCCATATCTTGATGAATTGTACAAACATGACTTGTTTTTAATGCTTAAATTTCTGCTTTTCCAATATACCGGTGTGCTGTTTGCTCAAATGCTGACACACAGAAGAGACACCTAATAAACTGTACGTGCCAAAATCATGACTGTAACGTGTGGATTTTACAATAATATGAAGATACGACAAATATACAGTGTTTGACTATTTGATGCTGGTCTACTGTCACCAAGATGTCCTCCACTGATTGCTGTGTTGCATCTGATTATAACTTTTCCAACATTCCTTTCTACATTCAAATTATCTTATCTTTTATGTAAATATAATGACATGTTTTTTTTTGTTTGTTTGTCTTGTAGTAAATTCAATTTTTATGGCTAAAGCTATTTTTCTAATACCTTAGAACTTCAGATTAAGATTTTATATTTACAACTTACTAACTCTGTTGCTGTCTTGTTGTTTAATTAACCCTACTGAGTACTGTGAGTTTCATGAAACCAAGACAAATTCCTTGTGTGTGCGAGCGAACTTGGCAATAAAGCTTTTTCTGATTCTACATGAGCCAGCATTTTTTTTTTCTTATGTGTACGCCATATTGCCTGAAAACTGCAGTAGCATTTGTCGACTTTGTTTATTTTTAAGAAAATCTTTCCGGTAACTCAAGCTGGAATTTGTGCAAAAAAACAAAACTCTTAGGTTGTAAAACCCTCCATTTCTGATTTGTTTTTCAGTTTGTTTAGACCTTTAGTCAATTACAGACCCATAAAACTAAAGAAAGTGACGTATAATTCAGCTAAAACACCTCTCTGATAACAGATCACTTTACCTGGAGAGTCGATCACAGGATACAACTCTTTGTCTTCCTCCTGCAAGACCTCAGCTGGCACCTGCACAAAGTGAGCAGAATTAGTACCAAAAAAATCTTTAAATCCTGACAGAAAAATGGAATTTAAAATGCACTGAAACATATAAATAGTCACAATTTGTTTGCACCACTTGCATGAGAACTAGAGCTACTCTGTCTGTTACCTTTGTCTCGCCATCTTTGGCTTCTGTTATTTCAACTCTCTTCTTTTCTGTGCCCGTGTCCCTGTTGGATGAACGATAAAACAATTACTAGCTAACCAAGCAGAGGGTTCTTTCTTTTTCTGAGCAGAGAAAAGTACTTGTGACAAACATCGAACACAGAAAATGTGAACAAAAATAAAAATGTGACAATCTAAAAGCGTCCTAAGCTGTACTTGGCGCTGTTCTTCCTCTTCTTGGCCTCCTCTTCCTCCTTCTGTGCTGTGTTGAGGCTCTCTGCGTCTGCCAGGTTGTCGACGGCGATGGCCAAGAAGACGTTCAGCAGGATGTCTGATCACGTGACTTAAAGAGACCAACGCCATGAAATCCAGTCTTTATAAACCTACCTGAGCTTTGAGAATACATTTTGCATTTTGTGTGTGCCTCTAATGTCTGGTCAGTGTGCCAACGTTCTTTGTGGGCAGCAGGATACAGTTTCCGCAGATGAAGAGGATGATGAAGTAAATGCACACCACCATGCCAGAGGAGGCCGGACCTCCATACGCCATGATCCCGTCATACATCACTGTGTTCCAGTCTTCTCCCGTTAAAATCTAACAGAACACAGAGGACAGGATGCCAACGTGATCATCTTTTTTATATTGTAGCATTTTGGTTATTATTTCTGCGTCTTGAATTATTTAAAGCCGTCTTTGTTTGAATGTTATAATTCATGCAAACTGTATGAAACTTAATGGAGTGAATTAACCCACGCTGAGCTTTAACTTAAAGTCAGTCAAGCCGAGCACCGACCTGGAACACCGTGAGCAGAGCCTGGGGGAAGTTATCAAACGTGCTCCTTTTGGTCACGGTTTCGTCAAAGTTGAACTTTCCCCCGAAGAGCTGCATGCCGAGCAGCGAGAAAATAATGATGAAGAGGAAGAGCAGCAGCAACAGCGAGGCGATGGACTTCATGGAGTTGAGCAGAGACGCCACCAGGTTGCTGAGAGAGGCCCAGTGACTGGAGGAGAAAACACACGACAAGTGATCAAACGTGGAAAAGATAAACCTGGTTAGACAAGGCGTAGCTCAGCCTCTCTTTCATCAGGCATTATGTCTGATAGCATCTGGAACAGTGTGTACTCTATTTAGAAGTTGTTTTGTTCATGTTTCATTATTTTAGGATGATTTATGTGTTTTTTAGAATGCACTGCCGGAAACTAGGAGTCAGGGAAGCAACGAAGGTACCCAGCTGGAACAGCACCAGGAAGGTTGCAGGTCACGATCACAGTTTAACACCTAAAGCACTAAGTGTTCCTTCATTCGCTCCCTCAGTTTGAGTGACGGCAGGTGCTCAGTGACAGAACACAGTAATAGACAATTAAGAGGCGCTCCATCGCATTCTGATGAAATAGAATAATAAAAGAAGCAACAACCAGCTTCACACATTCTAAACTCTTCTTCAGGTACCATGTACACACATCCTGTCAACCAGAGAAACAAACTGAACTTCTGTCTGACTGAATAATTAGTTGCTTTCTTTTTGCAATCTGAACCCCAAAACTCTCCTGTGAGTTTGAAAAGCACATATCAGTTAAAAATCTGGAAATTTACACCATTCATCAGAACCAGAAACTGTAAAAACGGAAACAATCTTTGACTTTATAAGTTTCTGACAGCCTGTGATCTAATGATCTGCTATGTGCCACTCTATGAGCTTCAAATCATGATGCAGCATTTCTTTAAAAACACTTCATGCTACATGTCTCATTTAAAAAGTTTGACAAAAAAAGCAATATTCTCTCACCAAACTTAGTAAAACAATAAAAAACTAACTGTGCTCATAAGGGCAACCATGAAGCCATTAGTGATGTCTGTGACCGACTTTGACCTGACACAATTCGGGGATTTTTCGGCTTAACTGCAGGCTGTGTTTACACAAAGCAGATAGGAGACACGTATAGAAACACATCTAAAATGTAAGTACTAAATATATATAGTATGTACAGTCACCATTTTTATTTACAGTGTTGGTAACATATGTGTGTGTTTGTAAAAATGTTGTACGTGATGATTCCAGGTTTGTTTATTTTACGCAAAACAATCAAGTAAATCCAACTTTTGTTTATACTTTTTTTGTAATTTATGTGATTTTAAATTTAGATATTTTGTGCCCCGTCTACTTCTAGTCATGGTTGTGCTGTTCCTATGGAGGTGTAGAACTTCATATTGCATTAAAAAGTCCACAGTGAGTAAAAATGTGACAGGAGCAACTAATTGAAAACACAATGTACTGTTAAATACCCTTAATGAGATATTAATTTGTATTTTAAAAAATGGAATTTCAGTATTTTATTCAAATAAATGATCAAAGCAATACGACTTGATTTTTTCTTAGCACATAATAAAGACAAACACAATTTCTGCTCTTACTTTTGTGAAGCTCTTGTATCCTTGTTAACAATGATGCAACATAAATAAAGTATAATTTGATTAAAGATTAATATTATCAACCGCTTGCTCAGAGGAAGTCCAAAGGAAACTTTGGATTGTTGGGTTCTCTGTTTAAATTTGTAAGCTCTACACCTTCCTATGTTAAGTGCTGTGAGATGACAAATAAAACTGAATTGAATTGAATCGTTATTATCATTACTATCATTGCTCACCGTGTAACCTTGAAGATCCTGAGGAGTCGTACGCAGCGGAACACGGAGATGCCCAGAGGAGACATGATGGCCAGCTCCACCAGGATGGTCTCCACGATGCCTCCACACACCACGAAACAGTCGAAGCGGTTGAACAGGGACACGAAGTAGGCCTGCAGCCCCAGACTGTACATCTTCACCAGCATCTCCAGCGTGAACAAGGCCAGGAGAACTTTGTTGGCCGCGTCTGGAGAGGAAAGAAAACACAACCTCTTCATAATGTTATCAAGTCTGTCGTCATTTAGCAAAGTCAAGTGAAATGTTTTACAATCACACAGAACACAACAGAGAAGGACAGATACCCTGAACTTCAGTCAGCCAGTCTGGTTGGTTGTAGTGTTCAGAGGCGATGGTGAGAGTGTTGAGAAACACCAAAATGATGACCAGCCAATAAAACGTCACAGATTTCACGGCTGCGCGACACTTCCTGCGGCAGAAGCGGTTCCACCGTCGCCACTGCCGACTGACAAACAGTTTCACACATATTAGAATTCTGACTTCTTGATAAGTATTTCATTTCGATGTTTTATGCTTCACACATGCAATTTAACATTTGGTAAAAACAAAACTGACTGAACAACTTCACTATGAATCCAAATGGGACAAAGCTGATTGGGAGGAGGACAGGACTTTTACCATGAGAAAAAAACACAACGATGAAACTCCGGTGACATCAGGGGGGAAAAAAACACACAGATGAAAACATTGGGGGATCTTGGAATGACAAAAATCAGCCATGCAAGATGAGTCGGACCAGATAAATGAAGGACGGACAGTATCTAACATGCACAACAGGGTACTAACCTGCACTTTGACTTAGTAATTTTTTGACTGAGGAGAATAAAAGACGAGGCAGCTTTTAATAAAAGGCAACAGCATGTGCTATCGTGCACGTCATGTGTTTGAGTTAAGTTCTGCTCAGTTGCTGTCAATTTCTTGGTGAATGTGTTATTAAAACAATTAGTGAATCACTTCCAACTTAAATCATCAGGGGATTTCTGCTCAACCATGTTGGATTTGTTTATTTATTTTATAATGAAGTATGGATATTTAAAAGAGTATCTGTGAAGTTTTAGCGCAATATCTCAACTACATCAATGATACATTATATAATTCATCCTACATCCACCCAACCGGTCGAGGCAGATTGCCGTCCCTCCCTGAGCCTGGTTCTGTCGGAGGTTTTTTTTCCCCTGCAGGGGTTTTCGGTTCCTTCCCACTGTTGCGGACTGCTTGTGGACTGCTGAAGCTTATAGGGAATCCAAATGTTCTGGATTGTTGGGTGTTTCTGCCTTTGTTAAGCGCTATGAGATGACTTGTTGTTGTAAATATGCGCTATGTAAATAAAATTGAATTGAAAAATTGGACATCCGACACATTTTAAAAAAGCAAAATGCCACTCGACTCACTTTCAGCACATTGTCTTGAGCCCTAAAAATGTGACGCAATATTTGAATGACATTATCGCTATACCTATTAAAAAATAAAAGCCTAAAATTGTCACAGTTATCTCTCATTATGTCTTTGATTCAAAATCTGCAATCCTGGACAAAAAGATCAAATGATTAAAAAAACTTTATCTCAGAAAGTTTTGACTATGTGAAGCGAAAATTCCACAAATGTCTTTTTACGTATATATAGTTTATGATGAGAAATTTTCCCGCAACTCAGACATGATTGAGCACAAACTGTTGTGATGATTTGAGCTGTAATGAGCCTCCTATAAGCTACAAAGTCTGTCTGATGTAAAAACTCACCACAGCGGTCCGCAGCAGGGAGATTTATCGTCCTCTCCGTTGTGATTGTCTGTGTTCACCGATTCGGTCTCACTGGGCATGCTCGCTGCAGTACACACACACACGCACACACATACAAGAAAGTTAATGAAAACGTTTTATACATAAACCTTCGTTGTCCTGAAAGAGACGGATTTCACCAATAAAAATCGCTTTCATCTGTAATGATTGGATTTCTCATTGACACCCATGCATTTCTGGTTTGGCTTGGCTCTCTGGTGACACAATCTTGAACTTAACGTCAGAGTCAATTCTCTAATTCATAAGGCTGGACTTAAAGTAGTGCAATACATAATAAGCTCGTAATTTGGAGTAAGTTTCCTTATTTCAAACGCCAAGCCAAACCACCAGCAGACAAAAATAAAAACTGTGAAAAATTGCAGGTGTCAGGTTGGAAATGCCGGAGTGACTCCTTCACAAAACTTGAGATAATGAAAAAGAGGTTCAGCCAGGTTTTTCCTCAAGTCGAAAGTATTTTATCTCTCAAAGACATAGACTGACAATTTGGGATCGACTCCTGGAACCATATGAAACCAATTGATTCGTTTTGTGATCACAGCGAAAGGATGAATTTTACATTTTCTGCACAGTTAAGTCACAGTGAGAACATGCTGCCAGACCTGAGTCAAATCTTATACATGATTGTCATTAAGATAAATATCAATTGGAAATCCATTGTAATACAAATACTGTTGCTTAGATCAAATTTTGCATTTACAACCAGTATTTGTGACTGAAATATTTGCTCTACTATTCAGAACTATTTGGTCCAGGTCTGTGTGCTGCAACAAGTATAAGTCACACGGTTACAACATACAGTATACTGGAAACCATATATACTGTACATGCATAGAACAGACACTTTTTTATGAGTGAAAAATGAAAGGGGCTGTAATGATGATGACTGCATGGAAAACCTGAACACAAACAGTGAGACGATTCTGTTTACTTCTGACCCAAAACACAGGAAACACAGTCATGAGATTGACCTAAAAAACACAGATTCAAGCCAAATGTGATGTTAAATCTGGGACTAAAAAAAAAAACAGGAGAAAAGAAAAATGCTGGGATTTCTTACTTATAAATATTAAAACCTGTAGAAGAATATCTTTGCTAGAAAACATAGATTCAAACATTTTTTTTTATTATTTCCTTTGTCTTTTCTCCTTTCCTCACTTGAAATTACGGCCTGTGATACAATTTATATGTAGTCATCAGATTTATAACATTCCATAAATAAAACTGAGCGGCTGGTGGAGCGGGTCGGTCAATGATCGGAAGGTCGGTGGTTTGATTCTGCTCTGTAACCTGTGTCATGGTCGTTGTGTCCTTGGGCAAGACACTTCACCCACCTCACCTGGTGTGAATGCGTATGAATGGATTGTTTGAGGTGGTGGTCGGAGGGGCAGAATGGCAGCCACGCCTCTGTCAGTCTGCCCCGGGACAGCTGTGGCTACAATCGTAGCTACCACCACCAGAATGAAAGTGTGTGAATGAATAATTGACAGTGTAAAGTGACTTTTAGTGTCTAGAAAAGCGCTATATAAATCTGATCAATTATTGTTATAATAAAAGAATAAGGACCAGAAAACCTTATATTACATTTTTATATTATTAAACTTTTTACTGACATTTTCACTAAACATCCTATATCTATAGTTGTGAGTCAGACTTGACAATATCATCTTGCTGTTTTTATTCTGACTATAAGAGGGAATTTGTGGAAACTTGGTCCCTTTACACATTCATGTGTGTTTATATGTAGCCTTCAGATGTCTCATTTTAATTTAAAAATATAGAAATAAGGTTTAGAATACCTTATTTTAAAATTAATGACTTACAATTCCATGTTTTAAATTGTAAGTCGGTCTTGATATTGTCATCTTGGTGTTTTTTTATTTACTAAAACAGGCCATTTGTTGGAATTAAGTCCACATATACATGCCTGTGTTGGTTGCAGGAGCCATATTTGTGTTATTTTTTTTCCTGAAATGAAAAGAAGATTTCTCATAAATGTCTGCCTCCAAATTATGGAGTTGCTCTGTTTGCTTTCATATGTTCTAACACACTTCACCAGCAGTGATCGTTTGTAGGTCGGGCACAAAGCAACGTTGGTTTAATGATACAACAAGTCGTACACGTTACATGAAATAATGTCCGTTAATGGTAGGAATGGTGAGGATCAGACAGAGTAATGAAACAAAGGGCATGGAAACACCAAAGCACCACACACAGAAAAAGCGTAAGCGAAGCACACGCATGCAAAGACAGACGTCCCTGCAGGTCGACACACACTTCCAGACACACATTTACCCTGGGTCTCTGTGGACTGAGTGAACCAGCCAAACTTTCCTTTCTTCTTCTCAGTGAGGTCAGCCAGCGTGACCCCTTGGTGTTATCAACATGCAGTTCATACAGCCAGACAGCAGAGGAAGCAGTGAGTCAGTAACACAGCAGAACAAGAGAGAGAGAGAGAGAGAGGAACGTACGGCAAGAGACAGCTGGAATACAAAACTACCGACACGACTACCATGTCCAGGAAACACCACACAACAAGTGTGCAGCACATTTATAAGTTACGCCTGTCCAGAGCAGACTGACTGCAGAATACATTCATCATATTGTGTCTGCAAGTAACACAACAAAGGTGTTTGTGATCATTTGTACAATTACGTGCAGTTAACACTTTTTAAAAAGACGTGCATGATGAACATTCAAATCAAATGATTAGAATAATAAATATTGAGTTATTCTGAGTAATTGAGCTTTGACATAAGAATAAAAAACTCACAACACCATTTATCAACATTTTACACAAGAAATTTTAGAACTAACGTATAAAAATAGGTTATAACAAACAACAGTTATTTAATAATGTGTATAAGTCAGACTGGGACATCTTGGTAAACAAAAAAAGATGAATGCCTTGAAACTGCAATTCCTGCTTGGTCAGTGTATCTTGATTACATGCAATAAAAACAGAAAAACTTTGATAGTAGCCTCAAAAATAAAGTATCTGTTCAACTGCATCTCTTATTTTTAGTTTTATAAATGCTGGACAGAGTAACGTTAAACACAATGCAATATAAGGCTGTCATTGATTAACAATAAACTAAATTTGAGTAGAAAACAGACAGCAGAGAAGAGAACAGCTGTTGGCAACAAGAGAAGAAACAAAGGGAAGATAAAGGAGGAACAAGGGGAAGAAATCTAACGTTAGCAGCAACCTACAGACAGTTTCCACACAGACACTGCAGGAGTCAAGGAGAGAAAGTTAGTGTGTCATCACAGCAAACAGCAGTGGTGAAAGCAGAGCAGCTACTGGAGAACATGAAGAACTGACAGGATGCACTGAGCGCACTGTGAGGGATTAAAGGGCACCAAAGAGGTACCAAGAAGGAGAGGTGGGTTTGTTTATTAATCGCACAACCAGAATGAAGTCCTAGAGTTCAGGAATAGTCGGAAAATCTGATGCACTATTTAAACTAAACGCCTGAAATCTACATATTCTCATTTTTAGAGTCCTGCATTTTTAAAGAGAAACGATAGACTGAAGGTGAAGAAACACAAGCCGATTTTGGGCTGCCTCTCTATTTACCACAATAAGCAGCCTCGAAGTCCTGGTTCTTGGCTTTTTTAAAGGTTGGTGTTGGCACCGGGCCTTGAAAATTGAGGCCACCCGGGAGTTTTCAAAACCTTGCATTTTCCTTTGTTCGCTTGTTTGTTGGTTCCAAAAGGCCTTGGTTCCCTTGGCTTTGCTTTGGAAAGGAGTTGTCACAGATCACGAAATACTGCATTCCTACAGCTCAGAAATTTACCAATAATTTGTCATTTGCACTAACCACATTCTATAATAAATTAAACATTATGTGCTCCTCATCGCAACCTTGAAGCTATTAATGAATCAGCTGCAGTGAGGTGACAAAAAATTCAGGGACGTTTCAGCTGAACTGGGTTGAATTACAGGGTTTGTTTACATGGAGCAGATAGAAGACAAGAATGGAAACAAATGAAAAATGTTAGTAGTAAAACATCTTTAGTTTGTAGAGTCATAATTTCAATATTGGTAACAGCCGGGGGTTCTTGGAAAAATGTTGTACAAATCGATTCTGTTTTTTCATTCTCATTTTTTATGATGTTAACAATTAAAGAAACTAAATTTTCAATATCTGGCTTCGTATTTTTGTTACACTGCACAATAGACATTCTTGAGTCGTAGTTGTGCAGGACTGTTCAGAAAGCTAAATGTCAGCATCAAAAAACATAAATTACTCAATGAAACATCTCAAAAGGACTACCATAATGATAAACTAATGCTTGATTAACTTATTTTGCAAAAGAAAAATACATTTGCCCACATTTTTCTCACGGTGGGAGCCTTATTTGGGTACATGTGTAACAGTTACGCAGATGACGCCCTGTTATACCAAACTGAACAAGATTAGAGAAATATACCTGCTTGAATGCTGAATGGACCTTTTAATGTGAGATTTGCGTTAAATCTAGAGTCAAAAGCATTCAATAATGTCCCTTTGTACTGAATATGTCATTTGTCTGCGATTAGTTTCTAACTGTAACCTGTCAGTTTGTCACTGTGGATATAAACTCAACATGGAAGTCATGTGTTTTTATCATCAGTGTCCTTTTTGTCAACGAGCTGAGCCACAGAGATTTCTTCCATTTCTTCCATTAAAGCCAAAGGACTGGCGACTTTATCAGAATGTAGTTAGGCGGCGTGTTCCTCCGCTCCTTCCTCTTTCCACGATCAGTGGTGTAAAGTAGAAGTTCAGGCTTGGAAATTCACATTTCTGTCTGCATTCTGGATTCGCCTGCTATAGACGTGAACAAGAGAGACAAAATAAATTAAACAGTGGTGACTCACGGTTGCGTTTGCCCTCCTCGTCCCCCTCCTCCTCGTTCTCGGGGTCGATGTCCTCGGCCTGAGTGATCCAGTCCAGGTAGCCCTTCAGGTCTTCTTCTAACTGCTGCTTCTCACGCAGCTTCTGGAAATCGCCGCGAGCTTTGGCCTTCTCTCGCTCTTTGGAGAACTCTCTGGAGAGGCAGGAGCATAATGTTAAACCTGGTTGAGCAATACTGTCGAGGATGACAGAAAGACTCTTAGTTTTGCTGAGCTACCACTGCTCATAACTTAGATGCACCCAAAGTCGTTCACTGCCAATAATACATTTTAAGCATTTCTTTTTAAGTCACTTCCCGTTCACATTGGCAATTACTGAACTTTTTTTAACAATTAGGTTGTGTTGACATAATAAAGTTGCATCAGCTTAGTATTGTGTAATTTAAATTCAAACTTTGGTGGTTTAAAACTAAATTCTAGTTGAGGTAACTTAATGATATTTGCTTTAAAACTTATTTTTCCTTCACTTTCAGGTCAGGATTTCAAGTCTTCTATTTTAACATACCTGGAGACACACCTTTCAGACATTTCAAACTGGAAATCAAAAAAATCTCTGGTGGTAAAGGAAAAGCTAATTTCCCAAACCCAAGATTGTTTGTTGGTTGAACGTATTTTTTTTTTTTTTTTTTAATTAAATTTAGTTTCAATAACTCAAAAAGACTGATGCTTAATTCGTTTTCTCTGAACCCAAACATCATAGTTATTATTTTTACAGTGTACTAAACAGGCCATGTGTTCCCAACAAATGATCTTGATGTGATTTGAGCGTATTGAGACACTGATTGCAGACTTGAAGAATATGGAAATTTTCGTTTAGTTAGTAATAGAACTGCTTCCCATACCGGGAGTTGAACCCGGGCCGCCTGGGTGAAAACCAGGAATCCTCACCGCTAGACCATATGGGAGATGACTTGAGGAGCTCGGAGCAGCTGTGTTGACTCATCGATCACTGGTGTGATTAATTATTTATGTGTTATTTTATTCTTTTCTCTGGAGCATCCTAAACTTTGATCGCTTCCTTTATATGAATTAATGGTCAGGGATCTTCACCTCCCAGTGCCGAGTCAGATGTACTGAAAATTAATAATTATGACATTCAAATGTTCACATGACATCTCAATTTAATTAAATCACTTGATTTACTTACTTAACCCTTAGAAGTCTTGGCCAGTTTTGGCCGTTTTTGCATACTTTTAGTTTTGTCTTTATATACCACATAAAAACATGTTTACCATGCCCATGTTTGGTTTCTTTTTTTTTTTTTTTTTAGCACATCATCTATATCAGGGATGCCCAATCCTGGTCCTCGAGAGCCCCTATCCAGCATGTTTTAGATGTTTCCCTCTTCCAACACACCTGATTCACATGATCAGGCTCGTTATCAGGCTTCTGCAGAGCTTGATGATGAGCTGATCATTTGAGTGTTGGAAGAGGGAATCATCTAAAACATGCAGGATAGGGGCTCTCGAGGACCAGGATTGGGCATCCCTGATCTATATGATCTGACTAGTATTCTTTTAACTTTGACTAACTATATTAACATTTTGGGATCGAAAACACACAAAAAAATCCAAAATCCGATTTCAATAAAAACCACAAACATGCTTAATGGAGCATTTTGAAAGTTGAAAATGTAACCATAGGTTGCAGACATGAATTTGAAAGGGTAAGTTTGATATAAAATCAACTAAAAACAACTATATACAACTGTATGTGCAATCAAATACAAAGCAGGTGTGGCTTTCTTTCTGTTTTTATCGGTGCTACTCCTGAAAATAATTTCTGTCCAGAATGAGGCAGACAGCCACATCACAGGACCTACACTTCCAGGGACTTTCTTTCACTTTCATTTTGTCCGTCACAAAAAATGATGGAGATGCGTGACGCCGGACCTCTTAGGGTTAATTTAACAGTTATTGAGGTGATAGCTAATATGCCAACTCACATGCAGGCTCGTAATGACAAAAGTGAATCCCAGCCTCTCTTCTTATGCACCAAACAAACACATCTTAGTGGAACTAACTCCCAAGTGCACAGAATCCCATGTCCACACATTCATACACAAACTGTGAACAGTGTGTCTCTCCCATGTTCACCCTGGACACAACGACGTTTGGTCAAAAGCTAAATGAAAAAAAATAAAAAATAACACAACACTTACCCGCTCAACACACCCAAAACCAGGTTGAGAACAAAGAAAGATCCAAAGATGACCAGACTGACAAAGTAAACCCACGGCAGCTCGAAGCCCATCGCGTCGTTCATCTACACACAGACCAACAGAGGAATGAAAACAGGGTTAATAACATTACATGTACAACAGATGATCCATGATTGTGACATAAACTTTCCTGGTTTTACAATCCTGAGTATTGAAAGACAAAGAAAGGAGAAATGGAGGTAGTTGAAGATTTCCTTTGTAAAAGTTTACTTCGTAGAAATGTCCTATTTTTTTTATGTGCAATTTCACCAAATTTCCATTCAACAGCTCCTCACCTGCACCTGTATACGTACATTACTGTCACCCAGGAACTGAACTGACAAAAATATTTATTGTTTCTAAGCGCTGCAGGTATTTTCAGCTTTCAGTGCCACAGTCCCAACGGCCGACATGAACATTTTCCACATATAAAAGTAAAAAAAAAACTGTGTGGAATTTATTTGACTCAATTTTATTTAGCTACTACCATTACTATTATGAGAGCTAATTTTATTTAGATGGATAGATTGATAAATAACTTTATCATAATTCAAGCACACATGCATAAAAAACAGTGCACTAGAATGACATTTCATTGCATAATGCTCTCTGCTACAATACAAATACAGTCATCGGCCATATTTATTGATTTCTATATTTATTCACTTATTTACATATTTTCTACTTAATGCATTGTTTATCACTTAGTTTTGTAGCATCTTCTTCTTGTTTTTATATCTATTATTATTATTGCTGTTATTGTTATTATATATATTATTGTAATTACTTTTTATTATTATTTTCTTCATCCAGTGGTTCCTCATTGCATGCATATTCATTCATGTTTTTGAGTCCTTCAGTTACTGTTTTACTCCAGTTTTATTCCTTTGTGTGCTTCGTGTTACATTTCATTGCTATGAAAAGTGTAAGTCTGATTGGTTGATTCCTTCTATCTTGCTTAAGGGTGTCACTACTGGATTTTAAACAAATTTTAATGTGCCTGAATAAGCCCAAAGTTCATATAATCCTTGAGCAGGGACAAAGATATTCATCTCTGAGGTCGACCTGAACCTGGAGTGACCACTAGAGGGAACTGTGTGAGAGACAACTGGGCCAGTAATGAATGAGAGCAACTATTTGCATGAGTAGGAACTAGTGTCTGTGGCAAATTAGAACTCTACAAAGTGCCTTATGGTGGAGTTGCTGGTAGGACAGAGACACTAGGAGCTGGAATTTGTCTATTTATAACAACACAACTGGGTTTTTTCACACAGTTTTCTTCACTTTTGACCCATGTACACATCCATCCATCATCTATACTCTGCTTAATCCTCACTAGGGTAATGGGGGGCTGGAGTCTATCCCAGCTGACTCAGGGTGAAGACAGGAGACACCCTGGACAGGTCACCAGTCTATCACAGGGCTACACTTAGAGACAGACAACCAAGCACACTCACATTCACACCTACGGACAATTTAGAATCACCAATTAACCTCAACATGTTTTTTGGACTGTGTGGGAGGAAGCCGGAGAACCCGGAGAGAACCCACGCTGCACAGAGAGAACATGCAAACGCCACGCAGAAAGATCCCGGTGCCCCCACCGGGACGCGAACCGTCGACCTTCTTGCTGCGAGGCAACAGTGCTACCACGTACACACGTAAATTTCTATTTCAACACTCATATGTCCTGTAAATAATCACTTTGTCTCCAGTTAAAGCGACATATTAGTCATACACTCTGCATAAAGAAGCAAAAAAGAAAAAAAAATGATGACATGCAGCAAAAAGCCCCAACTGTAGCTGAACACAGTCCCACCACTACCAGGTTCATAAACTTTTACAAACACCTGATTCTAGCAGCAAAGATCAGATTTAAACTATCTATCCGCAAATCGGTCCTCCTTTCCTTCTATTTCCAGGTTTGCCTAATTTCCTTCCTTCCACCACTCGTGTGTTCGCGTGGAATCGCCATGGCAACACATACATGCAGTAAAGCGTGCACGAGGCAGAGAAAAGTCGGAGAGGACGAAAGAGGAGCAGGGAGAGAAAGAGGTTCATTATTTCATAGACGAGGTTCTCCATCAATAAAAAGGATGTGGGCGGACTGTGATGAACACTCATTCTCCATTCTGAGTGTTTGGGCTGATTAAAAGCTGTTGGTGATTTTTTTGTTAATGAGAAGCTGAGGGTTTTGAAGTGAGCCAGGCTTTTTTTTTTTTTTACTTTAAAAATACTTGTTATCCTCCTAAAGATGGGCGACGGCTCAGGCTGCAGCTCGGAATGAGGACTTCTTTCCAAAAAAATAATGAGAGAATTCATTTGTCATTTGAGATTTTATACAGTGAGTTTCTAAATGAGTTTAGACATCATTACTGAGGATAAACTCTGTATGAAACACAACATTTCTGGGTGTTATTTGACCAGCTTTGCCTCAAATTATAGTGATTTGCAATGCGAGTATAATAATACATGTATAATGGCAACATCTTCTGCAAAGCATGAAGTGCTAAAGTATTTAAACCAAACCTGCAATATATAATGCACTTTACTTTAATTGCTGTAATTAATATAATGTAAGTTATTCTGTTATGACTGATTTTTAGACTTCAATAAGTTGGAATGCTGCTATTATGAAGAAAAATAGGTTTAATTTCTACTAATATATTTGTAAAAAAATCAGTCAGGACAAACATGTGTCTTTGCTTTCATTTGCAATTTAGGAATTTAGAATCTTATTGCAACCAGAATTTCACAAGTTTGTCAAGATTTCAATAAATAAATATATTGTTTTAAAATCCTGCAAGAAACTTAGCATTTTACAAAAACAAAAGTTGCAGGAATTTGTAGTTTTGAGGCACAAAACAAAAACATAGAGTCGTTTTCGGTGCAGTTTTGTGGATTACCCAGTAGAGAACTTCGGTCCAGCCCTCCATGGTGATGCACTGGAACACAGTGAGCATGGCGAACAAGAAGTTGTCAAAGTTGGTGATGCCGTTGTTGGGGCCTTGCCAGCCCTCTCTGCAGACTGTACCGTTGAGACAGTGTCGGCCGTGACCCGACGCTGCACACGGCGTTGGCTCTTCTTCTGCGAGAGCACCTGCAGGTACAGAGACAGAATCTGATAACGGTGCATTAAAAAGGCTGACGACAACCGGATAAACCGAAACAGTTCCACCATAATAAGTACAGCGTCATGATAAGATCCTCCCATAGAGACGCATGTAATCAACAGGGAATAAATACAAACAACAAGGTGGCAAAGAGATGTTTACAATATAAATGTTTTACAACTTTTGTAGCATCTTAGCAATGGTTTCCCATTTGATTAGAATCTTTCTTACCATATTTTATTTACATACAAGAGTTTCCATGGCATCTAACTCTGCTGCCTATGGGCCTTAAACTTTAGACTCACTTCTGCTGTTCTGGTACTTAAACATTCGTAACAGTATTTCCCTCAAAATGACGCTTTGTCCATCCCTAACTGTCTGAAACCTGAAGCCCTTAGGAAGGTATGTTGTCCTCTAAAAGAAAAAAATCAACTTAGCAACTCGCCGACAGTCTTTGAACTTATCATGCAAGATTTTGGGTTTTATTTTGGAACCAAATCTGAGCTTAAAATCAGGACATTTCATCAAAATCACTTTATTCTACACGTCTCATTTGGATATTCTAGAAATTAACCATGTAAAGAAACTAAATTCTGTAAAAAACTAAAAATTCTTCCCTTCTTGGTGCAACAGAGGAGCCATTAGTGACTCAGCTTTGACCAACAGTTACGTGAGAAAAAATTTGATATGTTTCAGCTGAACTGCAGGCAGTGTTTACACCGAGCAGACGGAAACAAGTTAAAATGCAGGAGCAAAATATAGACGGGAAAAGAAAGAAAAACAGGAAGTAAATATTTGTAGTACGTAGAGTTACATTTTTATTTTATTTTTTGCAATACTGGTAGAACCTGTGACCATTTAGAATAATGTTGTATGGGGTAAATCTGTTTGTTTTTTTTCAGTTTTTGCAAAATAAATAATCAAAGCAGTTCCATCTTTTTAAAGATAATTGATCACATTATAACTGCACAGAAAGCATTCTTGAGTTCTCTCAATCTCTCCAGCTTGCAGTAAAAATTGAGTCCACAGTGAGTAAAAATGTGACAAGCTGCTTGTGGGTTCAGAGGGTTACATATCACGTAGAAATTCTTTTTTTTTAAACTCAGTTCCTGTCTTCCTGTGTCATAATTTATCTTTTTGTTAACATTTTACCGTCCTTTTGCCTTTTATCTTTCATCCCATAACTGCATTTTCCTCTCAGATTACTATAATGTGCTACCGTACACAGATTATGTACACACTTATTTAATCTGTATGACTGACCACATGCACATCACGATGGAGGCAGAAAATTGTAGCACACATCCACATAAAATAAGCCCATCGCGCACATGCAGTGTACGCAAGCAGCCGATTAGCCCTCAACACGTTCACCTTTCCCCCTTTTGTAGAACATCCAACACTCATGCATACACACAAAGAAGTCAGCACATGCATCCTCGGCCTGTTTTACATGTACGTTCCTCCTCCCGACAACAAAAAACAAAAGAAGCCGAGTGCCTTTCTCTGGCAAACAGACACGAACAATTGGGATTAAAGGCAGCTTCCATCTCTGTCTCTCTGTCGTGACCCCTCGTCTTAAGTCTACAATGCTTCTCCTGACGTCAACAAGCAAACAGATCAAAGCGAGAGAGAGGGAAAGAGGAAGAGATTAGGCAAAAGGTTTGTCCGAGCGATGACAAGAGAGAGAGTGAAGCTTCATGATAACTGAATCCCTGCGACTTAAGCTGCTTCCATCCTGCCGGTCAGCCATTTTAGAATATTCCCGTGGTTTCATGTATGTATGTATGTTTTTGCCATTTATGACATTTACTCATCCTCGCTTCTTGGATAATTCTCCCTTACTTGGAAGCGATGCCAGAGTAAAGGTCGAAAACCGTTTACATAATAGCCAGAAATTAGTCATTTAATCACCAGATTTAATCCACCATCTGTTGTTCTGTCCTGTTTTCAGCAGCTTGTTACCATTCACATACAAGGTACATGTGTCCATTCATTCCCAGGGATTAAATCCTGCATCTACCCTTAAGCCTGTTTACATTGTCGGCTGTACGTGGGACTCAAGGGTTTAAAGGGTAATAATCACTCTTAAAAAAAAAAAAAAAAACGACCTCATGCAGTTTTCACAATGCTTTTAGTTCACCAGACAAAAAAATAAATCGTTTACCCGTTTGTATCAAATAGCATGTGGCGTGCATTTTGCCAATGAAGAGCTCCAGACCGATGATGGCGTAGATGATGATCACGAAGAGGACCAGCAGGGCGATGTGAAGCAGAGGGACCATGGCTTTAATAATGGAATTTAAAACCACCTGTAAACCTGCAAATGAACACAGAAACCCCAATCAGTGACGGAAGGCACGGAAGCCTTGGATTCTATTTATGGGAACTGCAGCGACGGGATCTTAATTAAAGGTCAACCTGGAGCTGCAGGGAATTAATCAACTGAAAAATAGTCTGTTTTGATGATCGAGTATGTCTTTTAGCACAAACAAGCGTCAAATGTTTGCAGATTTAAACTTTACCAATGTGAAAAATAAAGAGTTTTACCTTTTTCACATGTTACAGTGAACAATAAGGAGCAAAAAGTCATTGAAAGACATCAATCTGTGGGTGACGGAAGATTATAATGGGTATCTTTTACTATTTTCTAACATTTTTCAGATCAAATGATACAACGATACTACAGAAAGTATATTAACATAGGTCTATACTTACATACAAACAATGTACTGTATATGATGTGGACATTAGAGAAAATGAACAAATGTAAATATTCCCTGTTGGGGATCAATAAACTATCTTCTCTTAATCTTATTTTATCTTGACAAGTTTCTCAAATTTAAAGAAAGAATGGTTTGCTATAAAAACATTCATGTTCTTCAAAGAATTTTTGTCCTTTAACTGCAGAAATTTGGAGACATTTGTATAAAAGTGAAGGCTGACTGACTTATTTTCTACGATCGTGTAAAATAAATACAAACATGACACAATCACAGTTTCCTAATGCCAAGGAAGATGACACTAAGCCCCACATTGTGTCGAAAACCCAAAGACGTGATCACATCAGACAAATAAAAGCAGCAAATTCACACTATTGAGATGCAGGAACTGTTTTTTAGTTTGGAAATGTATTTCAGTCAGCAATTAAAATAAAAATGGTAATTTGGAAGATCAATTAACAGAATAAACTCTACACTCTTACACTCTAATGAAGTGAACAGGTCAGTCAGCGATGAGCTGACGGTTATTTTAGCCAACAGCTGAAGCTGGGAAAGTGTTTAGTGGTAAACAAACACAAACATGAAACGCAAACAGGCTTACACTTGTCACAGAAATAACAATTTGTGCAGTCTATCAGGTGTCATAAGAGCATGATTTATAAATAAAAGCCTTGTGAACAGGCGGGAGATCCAACAAACCGTCCTCTCCAGCAAACACACCGAAATATCACTGCTTAATTAAACGCCACATACCATCCGACAGAGACAAATGTTAAACCAGAACAGAGCTGAAAATGTCGTTTCAGCTCAGCCGAACTTCATCGTTCCCAGAGGTCCTTTCCTCCCAGAGACCGGCAAATGGTGCGTTGCTATGGCAACTCAAAGAATGCAGACACATTAGGGCATGTGTTGATGTAAGGTCAAATGTGTGCTGAAAACAGAAACAGTGAAGGAAGCAGCATCTCCTGGATGACAAAGGAATGAGGACGAACAGTAGGGACTGGACAGGTGTCTTCTCTGCAGGAGGATATTTCTTTTCAGGTATTTATGATCGTTTTCTAATCACAGATTATATCAGTTACCAGCTGGAAGCTGTTGCAAGGAAGAAAGTCCTGCTCATGTTAGAATCTGCCAAAAATGGGTGATGTTGTCTTCAATACTTTACTACTGTCGATTACGAACAGCTGGTTTTACAAAGGTGTCCTCGACCCTGACAGGTTTGCTTCAGTCCACTTTTCTCAGCCGGTTCTTCTGTCTTATCCTGAGGTGTTTTCTTGTATTCAAATAGAACTCAGTAACCTGATCTCCTTCCTGCATGCTGCAGTCCTTTAACAAGTTGTGTTAACTCCTGATGTAGCCTTCACCAATCAGAGGAGAAGCCAATAGCTAATTTTGCCTGTAGAAGGCAGCATTCAATCATGAACAGGTGTCCTACCGATATCAGTAAGTAAATGTCCATCCATCCATCATCTCTAGGGTCGTGGGGGGCTGGAGTCTATCCCAGCTGACTCAGGGCGAAGGCAGGAGACACCCTGAACAGGTCACCAGTCTATCACAGGGTTACACTTAGAGACAGACAAGCACACTTACCTACGGACAATTTAGAATCATTAATTAACCTCAACATGTTTTTGGACCTTCACCCTAAGTCGGCTGGGATAGGCTCCAGCCCCCCCGCGACCCTAAAGAGGATAAAGCAGTGTATAGATAATGGATGGATGGATGTTTTTGGACTGTGGGAGGAAGCTGGAGAACCCGGAGAGAACCCTCAGGGAGAACATGCAAACTCCACAGAGAAAGATCCCAGGTGTCCTCACCGGGATGCGAACTGGGGATCTTGTAGCTGCGAGGCGACGGTGCTAACCACTGAACCACCACAGTAAGTCAATGTGAACAACTAAAGTAAATAATAACTGTAGACATTTTATTCAGATATTTTAAAATTTCTATCACTGTGTAAAATCCCAAAGTAAACCCAGGATAGTTTCCTTTGTGACAACAGAAACTTTGACATTTTAGAGCATTATAAAAGTAAACTAATGGAATTCAACTGTGGGTATTTTCATCATTTACAGCTGTGCTTTTCCTGCTGCTACTATCAGTTTGTATTTTGTGCAAAAGACTTATTGCACCGAATACATGCTGCACACACACAGTGCTCTCATGTAATAGATTATACCATCAAAGAGTGTAACAGTGCACAACCTTAAGCATTTTCATTCTCACTCGTTTTCAATCCTGCACCACTAAACCACTGCAGCTCTAAATTGCTGAACACTTTACAAACGTACTTTTTTGTTTTCGTCCTCTCAACATTTTCTTTAACATTGCAAAGTCTCAAGAGTCCAATACTGTGGTGTGACAAGTGAAATAATAATAAGAATTACAATTTGTATGTGCAGTTGTTTTCTTATGCTACTGATCAGAGCACAGTGAGAATAAATTGTCAACAACTTCTGTGTCTGATTGCATCGAATGCACTCATGCAATCACAAAGTGAGTCATTCAGGGTCGCCCTCTCTTCGTCTCTTACCCGCTGCCCCCATGCACAAGTAGGACTCTCACCCTAATTAGCTGAGGGGACGGTAATTTGATCCAGTCGGTGTAATTATGAGCCCCACAAAATGCCGGTAAAACAGCTAAATATTCTGAAGTGCACGGAACGTTCACATTTAAGAAAACCCATTTAAATCAGAGCAGATGTTTGCTCTCAAAGACATATTGCCAGAATTCACTCCAACTGCTTATCGAGTGCTTAAAATACCTTTTGTTTGGATGTTTAAGGTTGCCATGGTGACTGTTTTTTTTTTTTTTGCAGTAGGTACCTCAAATGAGTTGGAATAAAGACCTGGAGCTCAATGGAGAGAAAATGTGGACACCAGAGAAGGGTTTTCCAACAAAAAAAAAAAAACAGTGGGTTGAATCATAACTGGTGACTACGCAGTGCCACGTGTGTTTAATGTAAAAACTGATAGTAAAATGTTATCGCCGCCTGGCATCTGGAGCCATTAATGTGAAAGGTTCCCTCGTGTAGGCTTTAACTTCAGTGGAAATGTGTTAATTCAAAGCAGAAATCAGTTTTGGTGATTTAGAGTGAAAATAGTCGACTCACATGGCTGCTTTTTACTTCTGCTTCTATGTTGCTGCAACCTTTTCTCAAGGCTGTATTGGTGTGGACACAATTTGTTGCACTGACAACCTATTACCAGCCTCCAGAACATGCATCGTCAGCCTGAGCTCAAATCAAGCAGGGTAGATGAAAGCTCTCGTGTGGGTGTGAAGGGCCTTCAGTTTGAAAATCAGGAAATATGATGTAACTTGGGACTAAAAATTTGAGAAGTATTTCTGCGCTGACTCACTGGGAACTCCAGAGACGAGGCGAAGGGGTCGTAGCACGCGAAAGGCTCGGAGGGCCTTGACGTCGAAGCTCCCGGGTTTGCCTCCAGACTGGCCGCCAGAGTCAGCGTCTTTGGTTATCATCTCCAGAACCACGCTGAACAACCTGGAGAGCGGAGGAAAGGGGACAACAGGGGCAAAGGCGGCCAGAGAGGAGAGCGGTGACGGAAATGTCATGAAAGCAGCGCGAAAATAAGATGAAAGCAAAAGAGTCAGAAAGCGAAGAACAAAGCCGTGTGTCCTCTTTGTGCTTGTATCTGTGTCCGTCCACACAGGTGCACTTTGTGTGTTTGCCGCTATACATGGTTTACGTGTGTCTCCTTTATGTCTCTGTATATTTACCTTTAGTTTTTTTTACCTCACACCACCATTTACATTGAAGTCCTGCAGGGCCCAGGTGGTCTACTGATAAACCCAACACTCTATACAACCATGTATTCATTTGTGCATGTACCCAAACATCACTGTCATCTGGACATGATGAGAATTTCTAAGCGGATGATCCATTTTTGATGAAATGATGGACATCCGAACACTGAGTTAAGACGCTTGTAAAGCGAACGAATGAAGGACTGTGTAGGAGAAGATGTGTGTGGTTTAAGCTTCGGTATATGGAAGTAAAAACCGTGTTTGCAGGTACATATTAAGTGCCACCTGCTTGAACTCACCCCACTATGACGATGACAAAGTCCAGCATGTTCCAGCCGTTTCTGACGTAGGAGTTCTGGTGCATGACCAGGCCGTAGGCAATAATCTTCAGAAATGTCTCTATCGTGAAAATGATCAGGAAGGCATATTCTACTGTTTCCTGTAGAGAAGGAAAGGACGCAAGGGAGGAGAAAAATAGAAATAAGGGAGAGAGGGAGAAACAAAAGAGAAAAAAGGGGGAGTTAACGTCGACTTTTCAACATAACGGGTGAAATGAAATGCAAAATATTACACAGATGCAAAGTTAAAGACAACAAAGAAGACGACATTGAATTGGTCAACAGACGTGTGTCTTAGATTCGACTTTTTCATGACTTTTGCTGAATCAAGGCTCCACAGACAAACTGTCAAAAAGGCAAACTGTGTAAGAAGTCACAATGACACACTTAAACTCTCCACAGTTCAAACTCGACCAACAATCTTGTCAGAAATACTTAACAAAAAACCTTGAGTTCGGCCTGGTCACTAAATGTACTGGTATTTAACCCTCTACTGGTGGGTATGAAAGGCCAGCTGACTTTAACATAATAAATGACCCAATTTATCAGAGCTGGAAAATGCTGAAACAGAAAGAATCGTCAGATTTTCCACCGTTTTTTCCCCCTAATTCAGCTCATGATCTAATTGTGTGTGGTGTACAGCTCTGTTGTGAATATGAACCAAACCGAAGCCTAAAATTATGAGATTATAGTCTCTTTATTTTACATGTCTCATTCTTAAAATGGCCAGAAATTAGATTTTTGCAGGAACAAAATTTTATAATAATAAGAAGAATAAATATTAATAATAACAATAATAACAATAATAATAATAATATAGAAAAGCACTCAGAGAGCACAGACCTCCAACAAGCAGCTCATTTCCACCGTATTGTGATTTCCAGCCCATATTAAAGTTCTGCATTCATTTTATCTACACTATCAGATTCATGGATAATCAAAACACACATTTAGCATTTGAATTAACATTGATATCAATAATAACAAGCTGACGGAGTGATGAACAGTCATCCTGTACTCTCAAATATTTTGTACACTTATGTTATTTCTGTTACTTACTGGATTATAAGGTGTTAGCTAACGCTATGCTAGCTTGGCATAGCTACAGCCATGCTATTGCTAACATAAACAGGCGGAGTGACTTAAGCTAGGTTAGCACAACTTCAGCAATGCAACGTAAATGAAAAGTATGAGGACGCACAAAGCACTAAGTCGTCCTGACACATGGCAAAGAGAGTTAAGGTGAACCAGGAGACATCCTGAGTCATTGTTAATGTCACAACATGGTTATGAACTTATCTATCAGCAGCTCCGCTCACACACTCCTGTAATGCTGCCTGGCTGTAACTTACTCCTGTACTACTGAGAAGACAGCGGTGAGGACTGAATGGAGTCAGAGCTCCATCTAGTGGACAAATGGCGCAACGACAGCATTCTGCGCCACTGTGACACTTAACCAGCATTTACTGTTTAATGAGAAAATAACCAGATGGTAATCCAGAACATCACCAAAATTGAATCATCTGTTCATTGTGCGATTATCAACATTTCCTGAAAATTTTATGAAAATCTGTTCATAACTTTTTGAGTTATCTCGCTAACAAACAAACACACCAACAAGCAAACAGATAAACACTGTCTAAAACATAACCTCCTTGGCAGAGATAACAATAATAATAATAATAAT